GGAAGGAGCTCCTGAAAATGTCTTCTTTGCTTGCAGTTCTTCGAGGGGTTCCCATTGCCTACAAGATGAAGTGTAGACTCAGCATTCTACACAAGCTCTTCTCAGCTGGCTCCTGCCTACCCCGCTTTCCACACAGCCCTCCACCCTGCCTTCCACGCTAACGTGAAGCATCATCTAGTTCCTTGCAGTTCCCCAACCTTGCCAGGCTATTTAAAGCCTCCGGCCTGAACAAGTGTTGTTCCCATTGCCAGGAATGCTCTTCCTTTCCTTGCTCACTAGTCGACTTCTATTTCTGGGCCAGTTTCTAACATTTCTATTGTGCAGCCTTCTCCAACCACTTCAAGTAATTACCTTTTTCTACTTGACATTCATTGAACACTTAACTCTGTGCTAGGCATTGTGCCAACGCTTTACATGAATCTTCTTAATTAATCTTCATGGTCCTGGGAGGTGGAGACTAGCGCCCCCATGGGGGGCCTTTGAGAACATCACGCAGATGAAGGGCCAGGCTGGAGGTTTCATAGCCTAAGCTCTTAGCCACAAAGCACTACCTTCTCAGGGCTTCCATTCTGACTTGCAGAGAGCACTCTGACTAGTCATTATAGCCTGGAGCTTGTGCCTCTCCCCTCGTCTCTGTCCTGTTCCTATCCTGGAACAGAGGAGACAGGCAGCAAATGTAGAATGAAAGTGACACTGGGCCCATGGTCATCTTTTTTATACCTTATAAGCTTCTTACATGATCTTTTCACTTCTTTGTAGGAGTTAAGTCTCGGAACTTTGCTTATAGCCATCTACGTGGATCTCTCAGGCTTTCCGTTGGACCTTGATGCCGCAAATATTTTTCACTTTCTCGCATGTGGCGGAACTGTACTTGGTGTTGTGGAAACTATAAAAAGAGAGAAGACATGGTCCCTGCCCCCCCCCATTTGAAGAGATGAAACTTACCCCATGGGATGCAACTAGCAATGAAAGGCAATACATTTGAGTATTTGTATTGAGTATTTGATTATGTAACAAATGCAAATTCTTTGGCATGATGTACGAGGCTGTTCATGATCTGATTCTAGACTATTTTTCCAACTTTATCTGTTACTCTCCCATCGGCCTCCGTGACCCCACGCCTACTGATGTGTTTTATAGTTCTGTGAACCCACCATGCTTTAAATATCTTTGTTCCTTTGTACATACAGTTCCTTTTGCCAAGAGTGCATTCTCCTTCCTATCTGCCTGGCAACTTCTTACTCATCCTTTACGACAACCTTCAGTGCGACCCTTATATATCTACATGTCAGTTTTCTAAGACTCTTTTGTCTAATAGACACTGAGCTGCTCCAGGGCAAGGCCCATGTCTCAGTGATGGAAAAATGAATGAATGACAATAAAAACTGGATAACTGGAAAGGAGAGAATGATGTTCCAGCATGGCTAGTTGTCAGTCAATAACATTTGTGACTGCAAGAACAGAGATCTGAATGAAGTGGCTTCAAGGGATTAAGTTGCATTCTCTCATGTGAAAGAAGTGCGGAGGCAGGTGGCTAAGGGCAGTGTCGGGGTACCATGATAGTGTCAGGAGCCAGGCTCCACTGGCCCTGCTCAGCCACCTTTAATGCATGACATCCACCCTCAAGGTAACCTCATGGCTCTAGGTGGCCGCTGGAGCTACAACCACCTCATCCATTCCAGAAGAATGAGAAGGCAGTGGGTAAAGAAAATGTGTTCTTTCCGGGAAAGCAGCTCCCTTTTAAAAATATTTCTCAGGGTCCCACCCGACAGCTTCCACCTCCATCTCCTAGGCCTGACTATAATTACATTGTCACCCCTCGCTGAATTTTGCAGCAATAAGTATATAGTAATGAATGTAGGTTACTTGTGCATTTAATTTAAAATATTTCTTTAAAAAATAGCTTTTAGATTTGAAAAGACTTTTCTCCAAAGAAAGTATAAACAGCCAATAGTACATGAAAAGATGCTCAGCATCACTAGTCATTAGGGAAATGAAAATCAAAACCACAATGATCTAGATACCACTTCGCATCCTCTAGGATGGCACTATAATAAAAAAGACATTATAACAATGTGTTGACAAGGACATGGAGAAATTGGAAACCTCATACATTAAAGGTGGAACTATAAAGTGGTGCAGCCACTGTGGAAATCAGTCTGGCAGTTCCTCAAAGTGTAAATAATTAGTTAACATATAACTCAGCAATTTTACTCCTAGGTGTATATCCAAGAGAATTAATACATCTGTCTACACAAAAACTTGTACGTGAATGTTTGTAGAAGCACTGCCCAGTGTAGCTAAAAAGCAGAAACAGCCAAAATATCCATCAAATGACTAGATCAACAAATTGTGGTGTAGCCATATAATGGGATATTATTGTATTAAAATGAAATACTGATACCTACTATACCATAAGCCTCAAAAACATTATGCTAAGTGAAAGAAGCCTGTCACAAAAGGCCACATATTATATGATTTCATTTATATGAAATGTCTAGAACAGGCAAATCTATAGAGACAGAAACTAGATTAGTGGTAGCCTGGGGGTAGGGGGAGTGGAGAGTGACCGCTAATGGCTTTCTTTATGGGGTGATGAAAATGTTCTAAAATTAGATAGCAGTATTGGCTGCACAACTTTGAATATACTAAAAGCCATTGTACACTTTTAAAAGACTGAATTGTATGGTATATGAATTATATCTCAATAAAGCTGTTGTAAAAATCAGCTTTTATCTGTAAGACATCTTTAAAATTAACCTCAAAGGAAAGGAACTGGTAGGGGGTAGGGAGAATTTCCTCAAACCAGTTAACGTTTCAAGGATTTTATTTGTCTTCTCTTCATTTGAGTCCTGGATTAAAAAAAAAAAATTAGCCCTGCACGGTCAGGGTCAGATCCTCTGGCTGGCTGCCCAGATGACAGAGATTCTGAGTTGTTTCTTTGTTCTGTGGACTTATAAAAAAAAAAAAATGAACCTATTTTTCTGAGTCTCCAGCGCAGAGGAATAGATGCCAAGGGGTCAGCAAATAGACATAAGAAGCCACTTTATCTGCAAGTCAGCCGGATGTCAGAAGGGTTTGCTCTGTGGGACTCTTGTTCTTTGGAGATTTTGTTGCTGATAGATGGGCAGAGGCAGCTCAAAGGCCGTGGGGATGTAGTGTTGCATTTGGAAAGGTCTCCGTGCCAGGAGTCTGCAGACAGGTGACTCCTAACCAAGAACTCTGTTTCTCTAAGCCCTGATGCCTCATCAGTAAAGCCAGAGAGATGATAGTCTTCTCACCCCGGGGCGGTCACACCAGATCCTGGCATGAACCTGCTCTGTAAACATGGACGGTGTGCAGCAGGGATGTGGCTCTGGAACGGTGAACTTCGGGTGGCTCCAGAGGGCACGTTTTGAAAAGTGGAAGCATGAGGATTGCCTGGTGGGAGAAGACAGCCGTGGACGTGGTGGGGAGTAACTGTCAGGCTGCAGGTACTAGAGTTGATGGTTGGAAGGCTGTGATAACAAGGGTTGTCAGAAGGCAACAGCCAGCAGCCCTGCCTCTGCTCTGAAGGTCACCATTACTAGCAAGTGTGCTCGTTGGAGCCACTTAAGTCTGACAACAGGGGCAACTCACTGCCACTGCATGGACATGCTGGCAAAGGAGATCAGACGTGGGACCCACCCTCTTCTTTTCTCAGCTGCTCTTAGATCAACATTTCGTATGTGTCCGGAATTCCTGAGCATCTTTATGGAGGCTTATATTTTCACAAAGCCCCTCAGAAATGAAATCATCTTTGTGTAGTATAAGATCATAAAGTGACTTTGTATTTTTGTTAATGTATTTTAGATTGATGTATGAACAATGGTATGTCTTTATGGAGTTCACTTTGATCAGGCGAATGAAACTTCCAGATCTGATTACAAAACCCCAGAAATTTATTTGGGGTTTCTTTCCCTAGTCATACTGCGTTCATCAAATTATTCTTCACACCCCCTCTCTTCAACTAGTGGTCTATTCTTGTTATAAAGTAAGAAGATAAAAATAAAACACAGTTTAGAACAATGTCAGGGTGAAAATCACCCAGTAGCATCTAACGGTGTTCAGCTGACTCAGACACGAGCATGCTCGCCTGCTAACCTCACTGCCACATAGGGCCGCTTGCTGAGCACTCCAAATACTTGAGAAGTTGTATGAAAGTGGAAAAACACTATTATAGTTTACTGATTTTAAGGTACACATTTTTCCCCATTTCAACACCTCTGAAATTATGATATGTCACCTTATATTGATCTTTTTCTCCTGTAAGGTGGTGCATCAGTTACATCAAATCTTAGATTTTATGAAATGTGGCAAATGATATTAGTCACTGAATTAAGAAAACTCATTCTCCTCAATTTTTCCTGCCTGCCCTTGGATGTACATGTTGAATAATTCTATGTCCATCCTTGCATTGCAACCAGAAGCTTACCCAACCAGGACTCCCATCACCTTCCTCCAGAGAAAGCTGATGAAACATCTTTCTGTTTTTTGCAGGTTTTTATTAAGAGACCACAAGCAGATCTTCCACCCTCAGATCTCCAGCTACAACAGGTATGACGGAGCCGTCCACCCTTCCCCATCCTTCCCATTCTTCCAGCGCCTGGGGTCCCTCTGTAGGAACTCAGTTTGTGTGACTGTCCCTGGAAGCTTTTCTGGAACCTGCTCATCCCCAGGCCCTCCCCAAAGTGACTCACTAATGCAGGTTCATCTGAGGTTTCTCTGGGAAGAAAAGGGAGGAGTGGCATCCCTTTGCCCTCCTGTGGCGGGCATAACCAATTCTTATCCTTCCTGGATAGGACCTGCTGGCTCAGTGACCTATACGGGCCATTTCAGCACTTCCATTCTGTCTCCAAGCCTTCACCTTAGGTAAGAACTTTCGCTCTCATTCACCTCTCAGTGCTCTGACTCTTTTCAACTGAAGGTCCCTGTTGTCCAAGATGGACAGTATTACCTAACAGTATGCGTGCTCTAGCAACATGAACGACATCCGGAGTAACCGAGAACTGTACGTGCAGTACACAGCCATGGCCCCTAAGCTGCTGTCCCGCATCTCCAAGTTACTCGTCATGTGCCGGAGTGCAAGCATTGCTGTACCTAAGGGCATCAGGAACATCTTTGAGTTCACTTGGGAGGAGCTCATCACTGACCCCATGGTGCCTACCCCGTCTGACATCCCGGACCTGGAGATCAGCTTTGGGACCCCGCCTGTGGTGCTTCTGGAACCATCCCCTGTGCAAGTTCCTATCCAGAAGAAGCTGCCACCGCCAGCAGCAGCAGCACAACCACTGATGCTCCCCGCATCCACTGGGCCAGCCAAGCTCACCACCCACCCTCCCACCCGTGGCCATCGGGTGCACTCCAGCCAGAACGTCCTGCACAAGTTCCAGCGGCAGTCTATCCACCTGCTGACAGAGCTGCTCACCCTAAAGATGAAGGCCATGGTGGAGTCTGTGTCTGGTAAGCCTGGCTTGTCAGATTCTTCTCCACTTTTTTATGGGCCTGGAATGGCCTGCCTGGACCCATGTGTGCATATCTGCTGCACCCACCCCAAATAGGTGTCTAATGATGCCCTGACAACAGGTGGCAGCCATGGATCTGCTGTAGGAGTTGAAATCCTTTCCTGACCACCCCGAAGAATCATCCTCTTACCCCCCTCTGCTTTCCATTTTTTCTTCCCATTTCCCCAACTTTGCAGAGCCAAGACTGCAAGGTTGGCTGTGGAGAATGGTGCGAGGTCAGAGGTCCTGAGCGGTGGAGTTTGTGGAAATGATGGAAAGGTGAAGAGAGGCAGCAGCCAGGATGACCAAGCATGTGGAGCTGCCAGTCAAGAGGGACAGTTGGTGGGTGGGAGGACAGAGCCCAGTAGAGCCAGGATCAGGGAGAGTAATGAGAACTGGAGTCCACCCATGGTGAGGGAGTCATCCCAGGATCAAGGCCAGGACCTAGAGCCACATCAGTAATCAAACCTAAATACTGTGTTACTTTAAATACCAGCAGCATTGGAACTGAGATCTATGGGTATGGAAGAGAGAAGGGCAATGTGGGCAGGGAGCAATCTGCCACCTGACAGGCTTTAGAACTCAAGATCCTTCCTTTGGGAGGCTCCTCACACCCTGGCATGGATCTCGACTCCACCCTTATTTCCTGGGCCATTTATGGAGGTCATTTTCTGGAGGAATTAGACCCATTCTGGGAGGAAAATGAGTTGCTCTGATGATTCCTTTCGTAGGTGCCAACCCCCTGGACATCACAAGGCGCTTTGTGGAGGCCAGCCAGCTCCTCCACCTCAATGCCAAGGAGATGGCTTTTGACTACCTGATTAGTGCAGCTGGGAGAAGTGGCTATGGTGTTGGACCATTGGGTAAAGGTGGGTACCTGTGCTTCAGCCCTTTGGTGAAAATTCAAGCAGTACCAGAGTGCAATGGAAAGGTCAAATCCCCAGTTAAAAGTTTGACATTTCCACGAGTTGAGGTGGATGTGGAGCAACAGAGACTCTCAAATGCTACAGGTGAGTGTATAAATTGGTGCAGTTCCTATGGAGAGCATTTTGGTGGCATCTGTGGGGTGGGAGATGCTCTAACAGCTAGAATCCAGAAGTTTTTCTCCTAGGTCGTTCCCAAGAGCTGTGCTTCTCAAACTATATGCAGGGAATTTGCAAAATTTCAATCTCTGGTGGACCAACTCTTTTAAAAATATGATAAAGGTGTCACAGCAACATCAAATTACTACAAAGTCTTCTAAATGTTTACTCTGAATTTTTATACTCACATGATCATGGCCTGGTGTGGGTTTATACCAGTCCACAGGTCATATTTGAGTGTCATACTTGGCACACGTGTGCAAGAAATCATACCAGAATGTATACTGCAGAATCGTTTTGAGCACAAAATATTGAAAACAACCTAAATGTCCACCAACAGGGGAAAAAACAACCAAGTAAATTACAGACTATTTAAACAATGGAGCATGAGAAGTGAAAATGAAAATGAGTCAAGTGCTAAAGCATATATATCAGTTGAGATGAAAAATAGTGTTAAGTAAAAAAGAAGCAAGTTATAGAAAAATACATTTGGTATGATACTATTTAAATAAAGTTTAAAAGATTGCAAAGTAATAATATATTGCTTATTGGTACATTATACAAAGTACAAGTATAAAAGTACAAAGTTGGAGGAAATGATCTTTGGAGAGGGGTGGAAGAGAATGGGACCTGGGTGACCCAGTGGTTCAGTCATATCTGTAATATTGTATCTCTTTAAGTTTGGTGAACATGCAAGTATTCATTTTAAATGCTTAAAAGTCCTCACTGTTAGGAGGTCTCAAAAAGAAGCATAAAAAATTTATACAGTATTGGTATTTCCCCCTTATCTGCATTGTCACTTTCTGCAGGTTCAGTTACCCATGGTCAACCACAATTTGACAATATTAAATGGAAAATTCCAGAACAAACAACTCACAAGTTTTAAATTGTGTGCCATTCTGAGCAGCGTGATGAAATCTCACGCTGTCTTACTCCATCCCATCCAGGATGTGAATCATCCCTTTGTTCAGAGTCTCCACGTTGTAGACACTTGTCATCCACTAGTCACTGTAGCCATCTGGGATATCAGATTGATTGTCATGGTTTCCCAGGCCTTGTGCTCAAGTAACCCTTATTTTACATAATAATGGCCCTGAAGTGCAAGAGTAGTGATGCTGGCAATTGGGATGTGCCATGAAGAAGCCCCGTTATGTGGGCAGGGCAGGGGAGAATAATGGGGGGAAACGGGGACAACTGTAATTGCACAACAATAAAAAAAAAGAAAAAATTGTGTTCTGAGATTGCTAAGATCTATGATAAGAACAATCTTTTACCCATGAAATTGTGAAGAAAGGAAAAAGAAATTCATGCTGATTTTGCTGTTGCACCTCAAACTGTAAAAGTGATAGCCACAGTGTGTTATAAGTGCTTAGTTAAGATGGAAAAGGCATTACATTTTTGCATTGAAGATATGAGCAGAAAATGTGTTCTGAACATTTTCTGGGAACATGTTGCTCCAGAAATCATTGAGCCTGTATGAAGACTTCAGGAAGGGATCCCCTGAAATGAGTGACACTGGGCCATTTACTACAAGTAACGGTGGCCACACAGATTCAGGAATAGGTTTGTACTGAAAAATATGAAAATTACTGGGAAAAGAGAGGGAGCCACATTCACATTACTTTATATTACAGTATATTGTTATATTTTATTGTTGTTCATCTCTTACTGTGTCTAATTTATGAACTAAACTTTATCATAGGTAGGTATGTGTAGTATACATAGGATTTGGTACTATCTGCAGTTTCAGAGATCCTATCGGGGTCTTGGATGTGTCTCCTCAGGGCTACTGTATCTCATAGCCATTTGCCCTCCCCTATAAAATCAGTCCCCATTTAGCATCTTTCCTGTCCACTGAACACTTGTCAGCCTTCCCTTGATGGTCAGAGGTTAAACATCTGATAATAATAGGAACATATAGTGCAAATAACTTGCATAGGAAAATTGCAATCCTTGGGGGAAAACACGGATTTCCTGAAGTCAGTGAAAGTGATGCTGGAGAGCTGCTTGGTGCCCACGTGCAGGCGCTGATGAGTGACGCGGTGGAGCAAAGCTAGTTAATTACTGAAGACGGAAAACCATCTAGGGTGATAGCGGCTCCATGGAGAAAGGATAGTTTGGGTATCAAACATTAGAAAGATCCCTGGCTGGTGTGGCTCAGTGGATTGAGTGCCGGCCCGTGAACCAAATGGTTGCTGGTTCGATTCCCAGTCAGGCACTTGCCTGGGTTGCAGACCAGGTCCCCAGTAGGGGGTGTGTGATAGGCAACCACACAGTGATGTTTCTTTCCCTCTGGTTTTCCTTCCCTTCCCTTCTCTCTCTAAGAATGAATAAATAAAATATTTTTTTTTTTAAATTAGAAAGAAAAATTGATAAAGTTCCTGGGCTTCTTTTTGCAAAAAACAAACATGAAGGGACTCATTTTAAAAAAATGACACTGCCTCAAAAAATTGACCCAGTTTTTTTTATTCCTTATAGGAATTAGCATGTGCTACAGTATTAATGAATTTTTGTCAAATACAAGATAAAATAAGGCTATACATGGAGTTCTGCGCCTTGTGTTCCATATAGGGATTAGAGATCCACCTCATCTGGGAGGGTCAGGTGCCCGTTGGTCTGTTTATGAGGAGGGAGAGTCCCATGGGGGGTGTCATGGTAGGTCTGGCCCCAGCACCCCTCCCCCATGGACCTGCCCATGGCGCTCTCCACCTGAACATCCTGTTCCCTCACCTGGAAAAGGAAACGGTCATCACCATTAGCACTCCACCTCAGCAAGTGTTGTAGCGTCCTTGCAGAGTTGCAGGTGTTCCCCTGTGCCACAGAAGCTTCTGGTGCCCCTCATGTGTCGTGATTCATCTAGTGGACGAGAATTCGCTGAGAGCTGAATTCTAGAGAGAGAGCCTTTTGGTGATGCTGTGTCCCGCCACTTGAGCGGAGCACTGGGAAAGCCTCCCCCTCCATCACGCTCCCCAGGAAATCTCTCGCGCTTGTTGCCACGTTCGTTCTAGACATTCCTTTCTTTAAACAAACCTAGAGTTTGAAAAGAAAAATCTAAAGGACAAAATATAAATGAAGAACATATTTCTTTTGGAAGAGCACTCGTCTTGGAAGGACTTGAGTTAGATAGCTTTCCCAGGGCATTAAAAAGAAGATGCAAATCAATTTATTTTGTATGAATTTTGCTTTTCTAGACCATCTTATAATATGAGGTAAGCCAAAGCTATAACTGAGTCTGGAGTGTTCTTCCCTTAAAGCTGTAGCCAGGATATACAAAGTATTCATAGTAAAACTGGTTCCAGCCTTTTCTCATGTACTAATACCTACTAGTCCTGGCTTGTCATGAAAGAAAATTGGACTGCTCCTTGATTTTTGGTTGATGGCAATATTACTACATAAAACATACCAAAGAAAGCAAGCAAATAATCATACCTTCTTTATATATAGCTCTTTTTCTTCTACTTATGCAGTTCCCTCCCTCTCTCTTTTTCTCTCATGTATTTTTAAAAGAATACTGCATTTTTCTATTTCTGTTTTATTGACTTAACAGACAAATGTTCTCCAACATGACCACATAATTTTAATAATTGTCATTTTGAATGTGTGTAGATTCCTTCTAATATTTATGTTCCATAATTAACCAAATGCTTAGGTTTCCAGGTTTTTATGTTAGTAGTATAATACACATTGTAATATGCAACTTTATATATATCAATTCTTATCTCTGTTGTATTGGTAATTAAGACTGACCATCCAGGAGAGGTCTTATTGGGGCAAAGGGTCTCAATATGTGTTTAGCTCTTGCTAAATATTGCTTTCTTGATGGGTTTCCTCTACACCACAGGGTTAACTAGTTTTATTTCATTTTTACCAGCATTGACTATTGCTAGTTATTTTCTGCTAAGGTAGAAGTTACTGAAAGTTCTAATTTCCACGTTTGGATCACTAGTGATGGTGAGTGATTGTGTGCCGCATTACCCAGTACGCAGTCTCTGGTTAGTATCTTGGTCTGCTTATGAAGTCAGGTTTGCCATTTTCTTTATGAAATTGTATGAGCTGTGTCAATGAATGAGTTGTCTAATATTTTCTAACAATTAACCATATTTGGGGGAAGAATAAAGAGAGGATTTGTTAAAGTTTATGTAAGAATGACCAAGATTTTCCACGAGAAATGGGGGTGCTGAAGTCTAATTCTGAAGTGTTCAGATAACCAAATGATTCTATAGAAGACAGTGTGATTCTGCAAGAACTGATCTAATTGTTGGAGAAGCATCTGATTTTTGGATAAGGGAAAACAGAGGACCTTAAATTTCCTTCTAGCTGACTCAGTGTTTATTCTCTTGACCCAATGCAGCAGTTATACCTGCACTTGGCCTTCAGTAACATCATGTCACTTTTTGTGCTTGCTTGCTGCTCCCTGCTTCCTGCTGTGGTCATTTCACTCTTGAGAGATATTGGAGGGGGAATGGGGAGACTGTAGTAAAGAGCCTTAATTTCCCTTAATTACTCAGAGCCTGCTTGTGCATTAAAAAGTCTTTTTATTCCAAGAGATGGTGGTTTTGCATAACAGGGCACGTTAGAATATCTGGTCTACCATTCTTCTAGAACAGAAATCCATATTATAGTTTTGTTATAAAAAGTTAAAATTAAAAAATTAAAAGAAGAATCCCTCTCTCTTCCACTCCAGAGTCCTTCACAAGCATCTCAGCCATGGGAGTGAACTCACCTTATCAGCTTATCTATGAGGCCTCTACTGGCTGTCTAAGTTTTTCCCTCTCAACTGGAAGGGAAGCTAAGAAGAAAGCAGGTAACAGTGCTTTCCAGCAAGACGTCTTAGCCCATTTGTGGGGTTAGGGGTGCGAGTTGGGGCAAAGATAAAAAATTCCTTGTTTAGGTCAATAGCATAGTTTTGATTTGGTTTTCTGATAGGAAGGATATATAGCCGACCTGGCTGTTGGCAGGAGCTATTGACGCAAATTTTTTCCCATGAGGTTGACATATCTCAACCTATTTACTCCAAAGTTCAGTTTTACCATTTGAATGTTTACATGCCCTCCATTCCTGGTCATGTGGTTCTCCTTACCTGCAACAACACTCCTCTCAAACCCACACTTTGCATCTCCTCAGTGTCCCAGACGGATCCCCTCTAATCAGAGAGGTCTGTGTTGCTCCTACTCACAATGGAAGTAAGGGAACCAGTATTTGAAGATAGGTGTTCGGATACAAAACCTAACAGTGTGTCCTAAACTGGGCCAGTTCATACAGGCAGAAAACAAAGAAGATATAGAGGGTACTCCTATTCTATCAAGGAAGACATACAGCAGAAGGAAGGGCTCAAGGGAAAGAATGGGGGTGACAGATGAGGCCAAACAGCCTAGCAATGACTATGCAGCCAGAAGCTCAGAGAGGAGATGAGTTGGGGCTGGAGAAGGCAGGGAAGGCCAAAAGGAACTTCCAGGCCACCCCCCTCCACTTTGAGCTTTGATGGCAGAGTGGAGAAATGGGGCAGGTAGGGGAGGACTACGTTCAAAAGAGGTGGTGGGGGATTGACATAAGGTAGGAATGCTCAAAGTCTGTCTAATTGATTTCCACAGACACTGGAGGTAAGGCTGGAAGTTGAGAAGTTTGGATCTTATTCCTGCCCCTGCCCCTGGCTGGCTGTGTGATTTGCCTTCCTGCAGTCCTCACTCTCCGTATCAAGCTGATCCTATATCCTTTCCATTAGTGAACAAGTGTTTATTAAAGAATTTATAGTTGTCAGTCACTGTTCTAAATGCTGGGGGTACACATGTGGACTCTACGATAAAGAATGCCTTCCTTAATGGGGCCAACATCCTCAGCTTCGCTGCACAGAGTAGATTCAGCTGCCCCTCTCATTCCCCTGGTTCCTTTTACCTCTGTTGATGCTTTTTCTCTCACTGTGGTGCAATAGCCCACAATGTCACTTCTGGCATCCCAGTCTATGTACTCCTGGTTTTATTATATTCCCTCCTGAGCTGGCCCTAAATTGACACAGTCACTTTAAGGGAAAACAGAGTATCCTTAAGACACACAGTGATTTCATGGTTTTTCTTCCTGATGACCTCAAGTAAAAGTTAATTAGGGTTGTTGGTTTCTTGGTTTATATGGCTGTTTTCCTCTGCTACCCTACCAAGATGCAATTTGCCTTGATGTTTCATCATTCTCATTAGGATATATGTTCAATGATGCTGCATTTCTTAAGATTCTTAATATCTTTTGGAATTATTCTCACACATGTATCCTAGTATGCATTAACCTACCCTAATAGTTTATAAGTAATCATGCATCCTGTCTTGCCCAGGAATGTCCTAGTTTATGCTTATTTTCCTGGCATAACTATTAAATATGCCCACTTTCACTCTAAACACTTTCCCAGTTTGGACAATATATTGTAGAATAATTCTGGTTCTAAGTCATTTTAGGTTTGGGACCTCCCCTATGTGCTCCATGCTCATGTGCTGTCACACCTCACCACCTGGCCCCCTTTGCAGTTGTAGGGCCAGGCAGACTAGGAGCAGACAGGCTCCTGGAGTCGGGGCTACTCCCAGAGGACAATAGCTCTTTCTGGAAAGTTGCCCTTTACAAGAAGAGAACTGAGAGAATCCTGTCAACAATGGTTCCTTGTGGGAGCAAGAGGCTATCACCCTCGAGGACCCAAGGCAACCAGGTATAGGCCAGATATGGATGCGCAGGCCAGCAGAGGTTCCAGGAGTCAGCCAGCTGGTAGTTGGGCCTGAGGGTCAAGTCTCTGGTCTCTGGTGGCAGGAGAAGTTGGGGAAGGGACTAGGAACCACTCATGGTGCAACACACCAGAGATGGTGCTCAAACACTGTCCAGAAACCCCAATGCTTGGCAGACAGTGAAGAAAACGCCTCCTGATGCCCTCAAGGCTCAGTTGGAGCCTGAGAAATGCCGCTGATATCAAGCCAGGTTTTATTCTTGAAAACAAGGTGAAATTGAGCTGGCCTATATCCACAGAGAGCATGAGGCTCCAGTTGGCTGGGCAATAGATACTCAGAAGCAGGCAGGACCTGAATAGATGCCTTTGTAACTTCAGTCATAGAGGACCATCTCCACAATTTCTTGTCATATCCTCATACGACCTAACACTTGTCAGAGAAGATAACTGTAAAAATAAGTGCAACAAACACAAACCATTATCATCCACAGATTTGAGAAAGCAGAAGAAAGAATCAGCAACCTTGAAGGTAAGGCAATGGAAATTATTGAATCTGAAGAACAGAAAGAAAAGATTGAAAAGAAATGAACAGAGTCTAAAAGACCCACAGGACATAATTAACTGGAACAACATACGTAATGTGGGAGTCCCAGAAGGAGAAGAGAGAGAGAGAGAGAGAAAGGAACAGAGAAAGTATTTGAAGAAATGGCTGAAAAATTCCTAAATTTGATGAAAGACCTGAATATAAGCACCAAAGAAGCCATTATAATCAAACTTTCAAAAGACAAAGACAGAGAATTCTGGAAGCAGCAAGAGAAATATAATTACGTACAAGTAATCCTCAATAGGATTATCAATAGATTTCTCATCAGAAACCTTGGAGGCCACAGATATTGGACCTATATATTCAAAGCACTAAAATGAAAAAGTTTTCAACCAAGAATTTTATATCCAGCAAAACCGTTCTTCAAAAGTGAGTGAGATATTAAAATATTCCCAGATGAACAAAGCCTGAGGGAGTTTGTGATCACTGGACTAACCCTGCAAGAAACGCTTAAGGGAACTCTGCAAGATGAAATGGAAGTACACTAGACACCTCAAAACTATGAAGAGAAATAAAGATCTCAATAAAAGTAAAAACATGGCCAATTATAAAAGCTAATTGTATTGTAACAATGATTTGTAACTGCATTTTTCTACATGATTTTAAAGATTAATACATTTTAAAAACATTATTAATGTAAAAGCTATTACTGTAACTTTGGTTTGTAACTCCAAATCTTGTTTTCTACATGATTTAAAAGACTAACACATTTAAAACAATTGCTACTTTATGTTTCAGGGCATATAATATATAAAGATGTAATTTTGTGACAACAACTGAAAGGAGTGGAGACAAAGCTGTAAAGGAGGAGAGTTTTTCTGTGCTGTTGAAATTAACTGATAAAAATTCAAATTAGAGTGTTATAACTTGAAAATATTAAATGTTATCCCCATGGTAAACACAAAGAAAATAGCTACAGAATACACAAAAAGGAAATGAGAAAGGAATGTAAACATTTCAAAATGTTTAAATATCAGCTAAATACAAAGAAGTCAGTAATGCAAGATAAGGAACCAAAAGCTGTAAGGCATCCAGGAAACAAAAAGCACAATAATAGAAGTCTCTCATCAGTAATTACTCTAAAGGCAAATAAATTAAACTCTCCAATAAAAAGGCAGAGATTGGTAGAATGGGTATGAACACATAATCCAACTATATGCTGTCTACAAGAGACTTACTTGAGATTCAAAAACAAACTGAAAGTGAAATAATGGAACAAAGGTATTTTATGCAAATAGTTACCAAAAGAGAGCAAAGATGGCTATACTAATGTCAGACGCAATGGACCTTAAGTCAAAAAAGTTTACAAGAGATGAAAGATGACACTATAAATAAAAATTTTAATACAGCAAGATATGACGGTTCTAAACATTAGTATACTTAATGACAGACCATCAAAATATTTGAAGTAAAAACTGTCAGGTTAAATACAAATAGACAGTTCTACAGTAATAGTTGAAAACTTCAATATCCCACTCACAATAATGGAAAAAAACAGCCAGACAAAATAAGTAAGGACCAAGGACTTAACAAACCAACTAGTTCTAACAGATACATACAGAACATAAACAACAGAAACAGAATACACATTCTTCTCAAGTGCTCACGGACATTTTCCAGAGTTGGCCATATGGTAGGTCACAAATTAAATCTCCATAGGTTAAAAAAGATAGACATCATACAAAATATCTGCTCCAACCACAATGGAATGAAGTTAGATATCAATAAGAGAAGAAAAACTGGAAAATTCACGAAGTTGTGAAATTAGATAACACAACCTTAAACAACCAACAGATTAAAGAAGAAATCACAGAAGTAGTTATAAAATGCTTAGATATGAATACAAATGAACACACAGCATACCAAAAGTTAAGGGATGCAGCAAAAGTGGTACTAAGGGGGAAATTTATAGTTATAAATGCTTATGTTAAAAGGCCAGAAGGATCTCAAATGGTCTAATTTTACAACTTAGGGAACTAGGAGGAGAAGAAGAAACTAAACCCAAAGCTAGAGAAGGAAGGAAATAATAAAGATTAGAGTAGAAATAAATTAAATAGAGGATAGAAAAACAACAGAGAAAATCAATGAAACTAAAAGGTGATTCTTTGAAAATGTCAGCACATTTGAAAAACCTTTAGCTAGATCAACTAAGAAAAAAAGAAGACTCAAATTACTAAAATAAATTGAAAGTGGGACACTACTACTAATTCTACAGAAATAAAAAAGGATTACAAGAAATTACTATGAACAATTAATTGAACACTAACAAATCAGATAACCTACATAAAATAGAAAGATTTCTAGAAACACAAAACCTACCAAGACTAAATCATGGATAAATAGAAAATTTGAAAAGACGTACAAATAGTAAAGAGATTGAATCAGTTATTAAAAAAAAAACCAAACAACCCAAAAACTCCCAGCAAAGAAAAGCCCTGGACCTGATGACTTCAGTGGTTCAGACATTTAAAGAACTAATGCCAATCATTTTCATACATTTCCAACAAAATTGCAGAGGAAATGCTTCCTAACTCATTCTATGAGGCCACCATTTTCCTGATAATGAGAACAAAAAACACTACAAGAAAGAAAATACTACAGACTAATATCCCTTATATACTTTGATGCAAAATTCCTCAACAAAGTACTAGTGAACAGAATTCAGCAGCATATTAAAAGGGTTATACACCAAAACACTAAGGATGGTCCAATTTACAAAAACTCCATCAATATAATACACCACATTAACAGAGTGAAGGGGTAAAAAAACCTACATTATCATTTCAACTGAGGCAGAAAGCCATTTGACAAAATTCAACACCCTTTCATAATTTAAAAAACACTAAATAAACTAGGAATAGAAGGAAATCAAAGTCATCTATGACAAACCCACAGCAAACATTATATTCAATTGTGAAATACTGAAATCTTTTCCTCTAAGATTAGGAACAAGGCAAGGATGCCTGCTTTCATCACCTTTATTCAACATAGTACTGGAGATTTTAGCCAGAGTAATCAGACAAGAAAGGGAATAAAAGGCATGCAAATTGGAAAGGAGGAAATAATTATTTGTTTGTGGATTTGTTTGTGATTTTATATGCAAAAATCCTAGAGATCCCACAAAAAAACCCCTGTTAGAACTAATAAATAAATTCAGCAAAGTAGCAGGATAAAATCAACACAGAGAAATTGGTTGCATTTCCATACATGAACAATAAACAATCTGAAAAGAAAATTAGAAAAATAATTTCATTTACAATTGCAGCAAAAAGAATAAAATACTTAGGAATTAACTGAGGAGATGAAAGTCTTGTACTATGCAAACTATAAAACATTACTGAAAGAAACTAAAAGAGACATAAATAAATGGAAACACATCTTATGTTCATGGATTAGAAGACTTAATATTATGAAAATGTTAGTACCACCCAGAACGATCTACAGATTAATTCAATCCTTATCCAATTCCCTATTATGTTTTCTGCAGAAATAGAAAAACTCATCCTGAAATCCATATGGAATTTTGAGAGACCCCTGAATAGCCAAAAAATCTTAAAAAAAGAAAAAAGAAAAAACTTCAGGACTCACAGTTTCTGATTTCAAAACTTACTACAAAGCTACAGCAATCAAAGGAATAGAATAAAGAGCCCAGAAGAAAACTCTTGCATATGTGATCAAATAATTTTTGGCAAGGGTGCCAAGGCCATTCAATGGTCAAAGTACAGGCTTTTCAACAAATGGTGCTGGAAAACTGGACATCCACCCACAAAGGAATGAAGTTGGACCCTTACCTAACACCATTTACAAAAACTAAATTCAGATGGACCAAGGACCTAAAAGCAAGAACCAAAACCAACAAGTCTTAGAAGAAAACATTGAAGGAAAGCTTAATGACATTGGACTTAACAATGATTTCATGGATATGACACCAAAGGCACAGGCAACACAAGAGAAAATAGACCAATTGGACTTCAACAAAAAATTTTTCACTTTGTACATCAAAAGACACAATCTAGAGAGTAAAAAGGCAGTCTACCTATGTGAGGAAATATTTGTAAATCATTTATTTGATAAGGATTGATATCCAGAATATATATAGAACTTCTAAAGTTCAACAACAAAAAAACAACCAACATGAATTTAAATGGACAAAAGACTTCAATAGATATTTCTCCAAAGAAGATATACAAGTGGCCAATGAGCACATGAAAGATGCTCAACATCACTAATCATTAGGGAAATAAAAATCAAAACTACAATGAAAGACTACCTCATCCTACACCAGTAGGATGTCTATCATAAAAACAAACAAAAGAAAACCAAGAGTTAAAGAAGATACTGTAACCCTTGTGTACTGCTGATGGGAATGTAAAATGGTACAGCCACTGTGGAAAATTGTGTGGCAATTCCTCAAAAAATTAAAAATGGAATTATCATAAGATCCAGCAATTCCACTATATCAAAAGAATTAAAAGCAGGGTCTCAAAGTCATTATTTGTCCATCCATGTTCATGTAGCATTATCCATAATGGCTACAATGTGGACGCAACCCAAGTGCCCATCAATGGATGAGTGGATGCAGAAATTGCAATCTACACACAATGAAACGTTACTCAACCTAAAAAAGGAAGGAAATTCTGACACATGCAACAACATGGATGAACCTTGAGGACTTTATGCTACATGAAATAAAGCAGTTACAAAAAGACAAATACTGTATGATTCCACTTATATAAGGTACATAGAGTAGTCAGATTCTACAAGACAGAGAATAGGACAGTGGTTTCCAGGGGCTGGTGGAGGGAGAATCAGGGTTATTGTCCAGTGGGCACAGAGTTTTAATTTTACCAGATAAAAAGAGTTATAGAGATGGATAGTGGTAATGGTTGTGCAACAATGTGAATATATTTAAATCACTGAACTGTATGCTTAAAAATGGTTAAGGTAGTACATTTTTGTTTTGTGTATTTTACCATAATGTTAAAAAAAATTGCAGTCCAATACTGAATGGATCTACACTGCCCTCTGCAGAAGACTTGAGATTAGGCAACATCAGAGAAGTACTGAAGCCAGTTGAGATAGAATGGAAATTTTTTCTTTGATCAGCACTATCAGAAGGGAGTCACTTTGGCATCCTCAGAAGCATGTCTATGCCCTGCCCGCCCAGAACCAGGACATCCTTGGGGAAAGATAGCTGGATTCATCCCTTTGCACAAGGCTGTTCCTGACACATGCTTAGTTGACTCGCAGAGTGACATCTCTTATATCAGGAACCTTATAAAACAGGAATTCCTGTCCCCAGGAATCATAAATGATCCTCCAAATTATTTTGACTCTCAGGAGATGCTGCCATCCTGCTACCCCTGACCTCTCTTCCCCAGGAGAAAACATTTTCTAAAACTCTGCCCTTAACCTCTTTATCTCTAACTACAGGCAAATCAAAAAATTTAGAAGAGATAACCCCGTCACCCCCTCGACGAGGAATGGGAGCTTCTTCCTCTGACAATGTGCAGTTTAGCGACCCCTGCCCTGAGGCCCGGCAGAAGCTGCAGGAGATGTGTCGCCATATGTGAGCACTTCAGTGGATGGGAGTGGATGGGAGAGGAGGGCAGGCCTGCCAGTTGTCTGTGTGCAAAAAGGGGAAATCACAAAAGCGTCTGAGTGTCAGGCAGTGTCAGTTACCCGGAGCCTCTAACAACAGTGACAAGATCATGGCCTGTCCCCAGACCTTCATAATCCTTTTCAGTCCTTATCCAGCCTTATGAGGAACATGGGATGTATGCCCATTTTGTGGGTGAGGAAACTGAGGCATTACTTGAGGTCCCACAGCTCGGTGGGTCTGACCTCAAGGCATTGATCTTTGTCTCCTCACCTACCCCTTTATGGGACTTCTTACAGTATATGTATAGCCTTTCTTTCTTAGTATAACTTGTCAGAGTTCTACCAAAAAAAAAGAAGAAAAAAAAAGGAACACCTCGCAAACCAAACAAAAAATATTTACATGGACGATTAAATGATATTTATTATTTTTATAGGTCCCACAAGTCCTAACAAGTTAAGTCTGTATTTCTCTGAAGGCCCAGACCATGGGCCATAAAGGACTTAAAACTTAGTTACAGCTAAGCCATGCATATCTTGGGCTCCCTGGGCTATTCAGTATTACTGCAGCTACAGAATGTGGGTAAAGTGAAGCCAGTCAGTTTTGCTCCTTCCTGTGACATTCTAGAAGGAAGCTCTCTTTCCCTGTAACCCCAGGACTGGAGGGTGAGCAAAGCCTCCAGCTCCCCCAGGTTCCCCCTCTGCACACAGTCCCACTCCGTGGGTCCTCACCTAGGGCTAAAGTTGGAAAGGATTGATCTCAGTGTTGCACCGGTCCCTTCCCAGTTCTTTCTAAAAATGCTAACTTTAAGAATGAGAGGTATGGGATGGAAACAGGTACTTTTGGGAGCTAGGGTGGAGCCTCCCTGGTGAGTGAGAGCCAAGTGGCTAGAAGATATGTTGCCTCTTTCCCTGCAGAGAAGCTGAAAGAGCCTCGTGGAAAGGGAGGAATATCTTCTACCCCATGATCTTACGCAACTACAGGGCAAAGATGCCTTCTCATCCAACATCAACCTTGAAAGGAGATGCTCAGACCCCAAGCTCCCAACACTCTCACCTTCCCGGTGCCCAGGCTTCTACTGCCACCCTGCACCAGCCTCCCATCTCCCATGGTCGCTTCATCCAGAACCCCCAGGAGGTGAAGGGAGCCAAGAAGGCCATCAAGCTGCATTATACCTTCTACGATGGGTCTTCCTTCGTTTAGTATCCTTTTATTTGGGGCTACCCCCTTAGCCCCAGAGAACTTGTGGCCCAGAAAAAGCCTGAATGTTTACTCTGGTTTTCCAATTAATCCAAAAAGCCTGGTGACAGGTCCTCCAGGGTATTACGAGTTTGTCCAGGCCAGAGAGGGCTCTCTCTTTAGAGAACATCTGAGTGGAAGGCAGCAGAGCAGGAAGTCACCTTGGATCCCTGTGTTCCTTGCAGGGGCATTGTCACCTGCTCCCCAGCATGTGCTAGAGCTGGACCAGACCACAAATGCCCAACCCATTTGGCAGTAAGGCTGAGGTCAGAGGGGACAAAACACTTATTCCAGGTTTTTCAGTCTGATTTGGATGAGGTGTCAAAGAGGGGAGACACTAGGCCATTTATTCATTCTTGTCCCTTCATTGTAGGAATGGTTAGTGTGACTGACTCAATGTCACAAAAGGAATTTGGTGGCAGAGCCAGACCTGGATTTGGGGCTGCCTCACCTCCATTTAGGCCCTCTCCCTGGCACCATTTTTATGCCTTTGAGGATTGTTTTCTCCAGCAGAGAGCAGGATAGAGAGGATGGAAGGGGACTGATAAAACCACGGGGCACTCAGTGTCGCCTAGCTTTGGAGAATAGGGCAGCTCTCTGAGCTGTCAAACAGGCTGCCCCGACAGGCCTGCTTCGCCACACCCCCCTCAATTCATTTTGCCTCCTCTCCACTGAACTGGGAATTCAGAATTTAAGCACCCTGTCAAAGGAGTCCTGTTGTTCTTCCGACTGTAAATGAGTCCATTCATCACACTCTGCTCAGCCTTGCTTCTAATGCGCCCTGTGATATTGAACACAGTAAACTCCTTCCAGGGTAGCTGCTGCTCCCCATGGGCCATGGGGCTTCTCTCTCCCCTCTTTTATCACTGTGCAGTGCATTGAACAGGATCATTCCCCCAAGATCCTCATAAAGCCGTGTCTGTGAATTAGGTTGCTATCGGTGGAACCAGAGAGGGTGGACTATTTACAATCAGGGCTCAGCACCAGCCTGCTGGGATGCATGTTCTCTCACCTGCCTCAGAGTACCAAGCCCAACCTGGGTGGGACCACCCAAAACCTGCACGCCATTGCTGCTGGCCTGCTTGACTCATACCCCAACAATGAACACATCCTGGCAATTAATGCATTTCCTCTATGGGAGTCCCAAGAGGTCTGGGTTTTGAACCTAGTTCTTCTGGGTGACTGTGCACAAGTCACTTTATCTTTCTGGGCCTCACTTCCCTCCATTATAAGATGAGGAAGTTGGACCCAGTGATCGTGAAGGAGAAATTCTGTGTTACTGTGTTCAAACAGTTAAAACACGATGCAACTGTTGGATCCCTCTTGAGTAAAGAAAATGTTTGGAAAACACTTCCCTCACCTCATGGCTTCTACAGAACAGTAGGCTCAGCAGTTGATTCTGTTTTCACAGAGACACCTGGGCAAAGCTCTCAGGTAGAAATGATAGGTCTGCACTCGCAATGCCAAAAGCCTCCAGGCCCTGATGGGTTTGCACTTGTCAACATCAGATCCCAGAGCCATCCCAGTATTCACTGCATTTGGGTTGTCAGCCTCTCCCTGGATCTTTTCCCTCAATCTCTGATTTCCCACCAAACTTCCCTCAAAGCCTTTTTTATGTGAACCTATAAACTCAACACGTTGATATAAAGATATAAACCTTAATCACTGTGTGTTCAGTACTGTGCTCAGCACTGTTCCTTTAGGGATTTGTTGAACACTCATAACCATTGTGTGAGGTAAGCATTTTTTTAATATGGTAGAATGCATGTAACATAAAATTTACCATTTTAACCATTTTGAAATGTATAATTTAATGGCATTAAGTGCAGTCACAATATTGTACAACCATCACCACTATTTAGTCTCAGACTTTTTCATCACCCCAGAAGGAAACCCCACACCTACTAAGCAGCCATTTCTTTCCCCTATCTCTTTGGAGACAGCTAATCTCCTTTTCACCTCTATGTATTTGCCTATTCCAGATATTTCATATAAGTAAAATAATATAATATGTAGCCTTTTGTATGTGGCTTCTTTCACTTAGCATAATGTTTGCAAGGCTCTTCCACATTGTACAGCTGACCCTTGAACATAGCAGGTTTTAGCTGTGCGGGTCCACTTAAATGTGGATTTTTTTTTTCCAGTGAACTCATTCAGTTCAATTGGCCCTACTCAGTTTAATTGTCTGAAGTTCAATTGACCTGCAAAGTTCAATTGACCCTTGCAGTTCAAATTTGTGTTGCCAAGGGTTAACCAAAGTTGGGAATACTTGAATGTGGAGGGCCAAGTTAAGTTATACGCAGATTTTCCACTGCACGGGCAGTTGGCACCACCTAACCTCCACGTTGTCAAGGAGTCAATGGAAGTATGCATCAGTACTTCATTCCTTTTTCTAAAAATAAAAAAAAAAAGTGGGGTGAAATTCAACATAAAATTTATTCTTTTGACAAGTATAATTCAGCGACATTTAGTACATTTACAATGTTATGCGACCGAAACCTCTATCAAGTTCGGAAAACTTTTTGTCACCTCAAAAGAAAACCCTACACCCCTTAAGCATTCCCTCCTTATTGCCCCTACCCCCAACCCTGGCATCATCAATTTACTTTGTGTGGATTTGCCTATTGTGGACATCTCATATAAATGGAATCCTACAATATCTGGCCTTTTGTGTCAGGCTTCTTTCACCTAACACAATGTTTTCAAGGTTTGTACATGTTGTAGCATGCATCAGAATTTCTTCCCTTTGTGGCTGAATGATATTTTATTATTTGAATTATACCACTTCTTAAAAGTTCATTCCTGCCCTGGCCAGGTTGCCCCAACTGGTTGGAGCAACATCCCATATACCAGAAGTTTGCAGGTTTGATTCCCAATCAGGGCACGTACCTAGGCTGTGGGTTCAATCCCCAGTCTAGGCTTATACAGGGGCCATCCAATTGACGTTTCTGTCTTATGTCAATGTATTGATGTTTCTTACTCTCTCTCTATACACACACACACACACACACACACACACAGACATATATATAGACATGTACATTTATATAAATATATGTGTGTGTGTGTGTGTATATTCCCCTGTCCCCAGCCCCTCGCTCTCTCTCTAAAATCAATAAGCATATCCTCAAGTGAAGATTTTAAAAAATTCATTCTTTCATTTACAGACATTAGGTTATTTCCATGATTTGGCTATTGTTACTAATGTTGCCATGAACATTCTTTTTAAAAAAATATATTTTATTGATTATGCTATTACAGTTGTCCCATTTTTTTCCTCCCCTTTATTCCCTTCCACCCTGCACCCCCCTCTCACCAGCATCCCTCCTCAACCCCCACCTTAGTTCATGTCCATGGGTCATACATAAAAGTTCTTTGGCTTCTCCATTTCCTATACTATTCTTAACCTCTCCCTCCCTACTATTTGTACCTACTATTTATGCTGCTTATTCCCTCTACCTTTTCCCCCATTCTCTCCCCTCCCCCTCCCCTCTGACCTCCATTTGTGTGATTTTGTTCCTGTTCTAGTTGTTTGCTTAGTTTGTTCATGTTTCTGTTTTGTTTGTTTGTTTGTTTAGGTTCAGTTGTTGATAGGTGTGAGTTTGTTGTCATTTTACTGTTCATAGTTTTTGATCTTCTTTTTCTTAGAGAAGTCCCTTTAACATTTCATATAATAAGGGCTTGGCGATGATGAAATCCTTTAACTTGATCTTATCTGGGAAGCATTTTATCTGCCCTTCCATTCTAAATGATAGCTTTGCTGGATATAGTAATCTTGATGAAGGTCCTTGCCTTTCATGACTTTGAATACTTCTTTCCAGGCCCTCTTGCCTGTAAAATTTTTGAGAAACCAGCTGATAGCCTTATGGGAGCTCCTTTGTAGGTAACTGTCTCCTTTTCTCTTGCTGCTTTTAAGATCCTCTCCTTATCTTTAATCTTGGGTAATGTAATTATGATGTGCCTTGGTGTTGACTTCCTGGGTCCAACTTCTTTGGGACTCTCTGAACTTCCTGGATCTCCTGGAAGTCTTATTTCCTTTGCCAAATTGGGGAAGTTCTCCTTCATTATTTGTTCTAAAAAGTTTTCAATTTCTCTTGGAAAAAAAGTTCCTCTTTTCCTTTTGGCACCCCTGTGATTCGGATGTTGGAACATTTAAACTTGTCCCAGAGGTTCCTAAGCCTCTCCTCATTTTTTTGAATTCTTGTTTCTTCATTCTGTTCTGGTTGAATGCTTATCTCTTCCTTCAGCTTCAGATCATTGATTTGAGTCCCAGTTTCCTTCCCTTTACTGTTGGTTCCCTGTATATTCTTTATTTCACTCTGCGTAACCTTCATTTTTTCCTCCATTTTGCCACCATACTCAACCATTTCTGTGAGTATCCTAATTACCAGTGTTTTGAACTGTGCATATGATAGATTGGCTATCTCTTCATGGCTTATTTCTACTTTTGGAGCTTTTATCTGTTCTTTCACTTGGGCCATATTTCTTTGTTTTGGTGGGCCTGTTACATTGGAAGGCGCAGAGCCTTAGGTATTCACCAAAGTGGGGCAATCCACATTGCTGCATTGTGATGCTGTCGGTCAGAGAGGGGTCCAAGAGGGAATGATGTTGCTTGCTCAGCTCTCAGCCGGCTTTCAGTTAATTCCCTTATTACTCACAAGCAAATTGGGCGCTTCTGGTGCTGATTCCAGGATGGGTGGGTTTGTGTACATTCTAGGACCCTGGGGAGTCTCTCCAACAAACTCTCCTGTGAGGCTGGGAGTTTCTCCCGCTGCTGCATCCCCCACATGTTTTTACAGCCAGAGGATTTGAGACTTTCTTTTCTCTCACTGGAACCCTGGATTGCACAGTCTGTCTTGCTCCCCAGCTATTTCTCCCAGTTTATCATCATGCAAATGTGGGACTGTCTGGTCCGCCAGCCGTCGCCTTGCCTGCCCAGTCCTCCAGCCACCACCTTGCCTCA